AATGCAGCAAAAAGTGAGAGGCTATAATATGACTCGTATAGTATTATTTTTGCTTTATAGTTGGAGAAGATTTTGAGAATCAAACAAAAACTATACATTTTGCTGCCAATGAATTTTTGGCTACAGTTAATTTTACTATTATAGATGACTTTTTTCCAGAACAGGATGAAGTTTTTGATGTTAAGTTTATTAATGATCATAAAATTAATATTGGAACATCCCAAGAAGTTGAACTGACAATTCTTGGTGATAGTAAGTATCATTGGCTTTTTAAAGTTTTTCAGTATGTAAAGTGACATTATAGCTTCCCTTATACTGTGTTTACACTAGCTTCTTTAATTGAGCCAGCCCTGTTTAAAGTGGGCCAGCACAGTTTCATTTGATAGTGTAAACAGTAACCAAACTGAGCTGAAGTGAGCTGGGCCAAACCAGACCAGCATGGTTAGTACAGCAGGGCCAGCTCAGTCTGGTTCAGTACCGTTTGGCCCACTTCTGTAGTGTAAACGCAGCATTACACTCTAACTTTGCCTACACTAATGTTTTAACACACAATTTTAGTCATTATGGGTTGTACCTATGATCTACATGGAGCCATGTTGTACAAAGTTGCACACATGAATGTAAGGATAAGTGCTTATGTGAGTACTGAGTAGAATACTTGGCAATCAAACTATGTGTACTTGTATACTTTTATATTTTGTGCTCTACATTATAGATTTTGTTTACTTCATTTTTGTAACTTGATGCTTGACGCTTCTTATTTTTCTAATAGCTCGATTTATAACTGGTGGTGGTAGTAGTCCTGGAACTGGTCCCAATGTTGTGGCACAAGAGGGGGATAGTCAAGTTAAAGTCTGCATAACACTCTCAGGATTAGCTGACTCCTCATATCCAGGACCAGTAGAATTTCTTTTTATACCAATGGAGAAATCAGAAGCATTGCAGCCTGCACAAGGTAGATCTATAATAATTGATTGAAATAGCACCAATTTTAGCAGTTATTGATATTTAAATTACACATGACATGTTTCTTTCATTATGACAATTGCCATGTACAATAGTTAATATGGAAAAACTTGGTTCCAATTCTGATCTCATAATGATTTTAAAATTTTAATTTAATTAATTAATACAAGCCTAATATGAATAAATTTGTGCAATATAAAATATTATTCTCAAACTCAAAAAATAATTAAAAATTTTCTTTTAATGCTAATAGAGGAAGATTATGATAATACAACTATAGCAGTTATAATGCCACCTGGTGATATTGAGGTCTGTGCACATATCAGTACTGTTGAAGATAGGATTTTCAATGAACCAAATGAAGAGTTTTGTATCAATGTAACATCAAATGTTTCACTTGGTATGTTTCATCCTCCAGAGTGTCAAATAACAGTAACCATTATTGATAAAATAGGTAAGAAGATATTATGCTCAAAACATAATTATTTTAATTTTTTATTCAAAATTGCAAGATTGGGCACTTATTTATAAATTGGTGCATTATAATTAAATTAATGTATAGTCGCAGCAAAGTTCAAAGGCCTAACAGTTGTGATAAAACCCACAGAACACTCCCACCAATACCGCAGTGTGATATTATAAATAGCACACTCATTTATTTAATGTGCAGCAGTGTGATATCAATATCATTGATAGCAAACGTTATTTTAAAAATATTATAATTAAATCAATTTTGATGAATAGAATGTCTTAACTATTACTTAATTACTGGCATCTGTGAGACTAACTATATTAGTAGTTTTGTGATATAAAAAGAATTCTTATGCTCCAAAGGTAATGTGGAATAATGCTACTGCAAATTCATTAATTTTGTAATCCACATTGCATAATTTATATAAGACCCAATTGCGAGAGGTTTAAACAATAAGTTTTGTCCCCAGTTGACATTATTTTAAACATATTTTATTTTATAATGTAACATCACACAGAATCCTAGTACAAGCCTCAGAATTGATTACATTACTATAGCTGGTATAGCTATTTTCTGTCAAAATTAATTTCCATCTACATTCAAATGCTCCTCAGTGTCTTGCATCCATGTGTACACAATTGCAGGCTCAAAATAAAAAATAGATGGAAACTAGTTTCTAGAACAAAAATTTATTCCAACAAAATATACTCATTCAAGGCAATTAAAATTACCATATCCTTTAGTATAACAGCTACATAGATAAGTTTCACAATTATTCTTTAATTGCATTTATAATCAAACTCATTATGTGATAACTACACAGCAAAATATTTTGTTTAAAACTACCCTTAGAGGGTTACCTCAGTTCCGGAAATCAACTTTTTAGTGAAACTGAGGTATAACCACCCATGGGTTGTTTTAGCAACTTATTTTTTGCAGTGTAGTAATTGCATAGGCAGACATTAGATTGTGTTTCTATTGGGAATTGTATAGAGCTGAGGTTATCTAATTTTGTGTGCACGAAGCTAGGAAAAATCTATTTGTATGCAGCCTGTTCAATTTAAAGAACACTCATACAGTGCATGCTCTTTCACCTGACTCTCAGGCTTACTGAATATTTACAGTAATCAAACAAGCCTTTTCTACTGATGACTGCAGTTGTTCAGCTGTAGTGAGTGCATTGCTTACTGTAAAAAAAATTGATGAAAAATTGCTATGCCAAAATATTCAGACTGAAACTTTTTTATTTCATATTATGATAAACTTGGTATACACTAACTTGTAGAAGGCTTCACAGCTTTTTCAAGGGCTACAATGCAGTAGTTTATATAAACTCTCTCAACTCTGTCAGCTCTATCCACTTATGAAAAATTTAAGCTTTTTCATTGCATGTTGTTAATTTAATTTCATGTACTGAGATGCTGTTATTACTAAAACAAGCAGGCAGTCACTCATTTAGTAACCACATATCGTGTGGCCAGACTCTCCATCATGCATGCACAATTACGGGCCATATTTGATTAATATAGCTATAATTTAATTTCTTATGATA